TGGACATCGGCAGCATGGGCGTCTGGCAGTTCAACGTCCCCGCGCAACAAGGCCAAGGCCGCGAGGAGGAAGCCTGGGAGTGGCGGAGGGTCAGGGACCCCAACTCGGCGGGGGGGCTGATGAGCAGGATCAGCAAGATGGCCGGCCTCGTCGGATCGCTGGTTCTCGTGCCCAGCGGATCCCCGGGGGACACCACCCCGTTCGCCACATGGACCAAGGGCCACGGCTCCAAGTTCAAGAAGGAGTCCGATCTGGGGGTTCTGGAGTTTCACGGGCCGGCGAGCACTGACAAGATGGGGGATGCGTTCCAGGCTCTCGCCATTATGAGCATAGTCAAGATTCAGCAGGATAATCGAGATGAAACCGTGGCCGGGATGATTAAAGGTTCGTTCTCTAGCTCGGGATAAGGTAGATAAGGGAAGTCGAGGGCATATGACGAAGTTATGTCCAAGTTAGCGTGTCCGAATCAAGAAACACAGATAGTAATCATCTGGTACTCGTGATCAATCTCTCCATTCTTCCACCCGAAAAATGGGGTCGAAGGGGGGCGGTGAGTGTACTAAAAATTGAACTTCTTGTTGTATATTCTATCAAATATAGATCATCACTTTTCGAAGTCCGCATACCTACCTAGAGACACCCCCATGTGCCCTCCCCCTGCAACCCATCGGAAACTATAGCGATTAGACAACTTAAGAGGCCACAACTACGATTAATTACGATGACATCAGAAGTGTTCCCGAATATCTGGGCCTCTTTGGTCAGTTCTACCGCCAAAGCGATAAGTTGGCGCTACATTTCTGACAGACATCCGAAGTCCTTCTCTACACATGTATATAGTAGGACATCCTTCAGCTCTTATCAACCAGTCAGATTCTCTCTTTGATCAGGCGTGGCAAGATCGAATCCGGTTTTAATGGCTCCCATTCGGAACAGACTCCTTGACCACTCCGTAAGCCTCGGCAATTCTTCTCCCCACAGACTCACCGCTCCAATACGCCCCAGTGGCGGTCCCCAATGCCACAAATGGGGCAGTGTGCTCCCCTGCAAGCCAAAGTCCTTGCTCGGGTACCCCCTGTCGCATTGCCCTAATATCTCCATCTCCATCTTGCAAGCCCACCTGGAAGTTGGCATAACTTCCATGGCCCGCAAGCTCATCCTGGCGCCATTCTGTTGCGCGGCATCCGATAACCTTGCAAGCTGGGGACTGGTCTGAGAAGTGCGGCAGGCGGGAGAAGTAGGGCCGGAAGTGGTTGATGAGGAAGGTATTCTTTTCGACTTGGCTGGTGAGTTTGGCGAGGTTGGAGGTTATGTAGTCAGACTGGTCGCCGTAAATATAGAAAAGAAGCGTAGGATGGGCGAACTTTGGGTTGAGGTTGGCCAACTCAACGACTTCTTGATTCCATTTGTTGGGATTTGACTCAGTTGCATAGTTAGGAGTCATCCATTGTACGAAACCCTGCACATGGCGGCCCTCCTCTTCGTCATTCGAGAGCCAGAAGGCCTCTTGAAAACTGATGTAAACCTACCAGCTAAAGTCAATAGTCTGTGGGTCAGAAACAAGGGTCTAGCTTTCATCTTGACTTACCTTTTCGAGGCAACCGTAACTGATGGATCCGATTGCCGATGTTATTCGCTGAGGGAGACGGGGCTCAAAGGCCTCGAGGTTCTGTTTTAACCAGCCAAGGGGACAGGTCACAACGACTTCGTCAAACTCCAATATTTGGCCGCCATTGACCTGAAGTTTAACCATGTCGGTTGGCTGCGTCCTGGAGTAAACCTTTTCTACCTTGGTTTTCAACTTCAGCCCGGCAGCTCCAGTAAGCACTGGCTGGCCTACAAGTTCCAGAATCTTTTGGTAGGTACCAGCACAAAAAAGGTTTTCTGAATGGCGCATTAGCTTGCGGGTTCTGTTCAACATTTACTGGCTATGTTGGGAGGTACAAACCTCCTTCCAAGCACTCCTCAAGCCAGAAAAACTTCAAACTTTGTCTTCCCACAGCACTGCCGATAAAATTCCCCCAGCTCTGGGAAAGCTGTAGAACTGTTCTTCTTCTTTGCTCGTAGTTGTCCTGCGTGTTGGGGATCTTTTCGACAACCTTTTCCTCAAAGAAATCGAGCAGACTCTCTTTGTCATTGATTAAACTTGAATACTTATTAGAGTGCTTGAAAGCATCCTGGATAATGTCCCACATCATGTCGGCGTATTCCTGTCCCTCCTTACGCGGGAACAGAACCCCAGACTCATTGAAGATGTAGGTTTCCGTATCCCAGCTGCCCACTGACGTATTTGTCTCCTGGGCAAGACCAATGATGGGATTATTTGACGTGCCATGAATCCAATTGGGACCCATATCAACTAGACGTCCATTGGCGAGTGTTTCCTGATGCACACGACCACCTATCCGATCTCGAGCCTCAAGAACTGTGACTTTGAGGCCATAGCTGGTCAAAATATCTGCACAACGAAGGCCGGCAAGACCTGCACCTACAATAGCCACATGCGGCCTTGTATCGATGCCGTGGGTCTCACGCTAAGAATAGACAAGTCAGTCTCGGGCTGGGCCTGACTGATTGCTGCATATCCATCAAAACTTGAAAGAGGGGCAAATATATGAAACATGTTCAGAGAAGAAGAAATAAATCGGAAATACATATTAAACAAAGAGAATAAAAAGAATAAGGCACTCTACCTGTTTTGAGGCCTCCATGCGAGATATTTGCTTTAGCATGTACCCAGGGTCAAATTCTGGTAGGCTGTGGTTTCGAATTGCTTTGAGATCTTGATAAATCTTAGATGTACTTCGTCCCGCTGAGTTAGTACAACAAATCGAGTATGCATCCATGCTGACTGATGGGAATGTGCTGGAAGAGACAGGATAATGAAAGCTGAGGAATAGAGAATAAGACTATAGGTTAGGTAATGATGTAGTATAGGGGCTTGGAGAGGGTTATGGTCTGATAAGCTCAACCAGACTAGGTAATTGGACTAAAGGGTATATAGGAATCCGATCTGCTCTGAAGGAAGGATCTCGGGAGGAAATAGAGGATCGGAGAAATTGAAGATATTGAGTCCCTAGGTGCAGGAAAATGGAGAAGAAGATTACATAAATGACGATCACAAGCTGTTGGCGGGGAAGGGAAAATCTTAAGATAGGCAGGTACAACTCAGTCAAGAGTGAGAGTCGGGTGACAGGATTGGCCCGGCTGAACTCGACTGATGCAGATGACCGCCCTCGCTAAGATGGGAAGCGATAAGGCAGGAACCTGGAGTAGATTGGGAAGGGTGTGTGACGCGAGCGTAAGTTGCTGGAAAATTGCAAGCAGTGAAAAATTCGTCTTCTCGAAATTGAGACGAGTTGGTTGCAAGCAATTATCACTCACCTCTATCAATTCTGGGACCGAGTCTACTGGGCTGCTTTGCTAATGTGGTCAAGGCGCCGTAGTCGTGTGCATCTCTGATTGCCTACGGCAAGATGAGGTTACAGGAACCAATAGATGTGAGCCTGGCTCTCACGAGGAAGATGAGACGGCGAGAGGGGTGGCATCCTCTGCTCTTAGCACCCAAAGCGGGGACATGCCGAGCGAGAGCCAGAGAGGCGGGATTTACTGATTGCATCAATTAGAAAACCTACGGCTACAGAACGTCATATGGGAACTACACCGCAATGGAAGCCCTTGTGCAACCGCCAGGATGATAGTGCGGCTCGAGTCTGATGGGGCCTGGTTGATTGACGGCTTGATCCAAGAGTTTGGTTGGGCTGTGCACTGACTCACCGGCACAACGCTGCTGCCAATGAGGTGCGAGAAACGGCCTGTCGGCGATTTCCTCTCCTACCCTGGACCTAGTGCCATGAGCATCCCTACTATCCACGTGAGGAAAAAAGCGAGAAAAAAACGGATGACGGAGTTTCTTTTTCTTGGAGTTTCCTGGAGACCCTCCTCTACCGGCGACAGGGCTCGTTGGGGTTAAGACCGCACTGTGACAACGAGACAACAAACCTATCAGTTACGCTATGGAATAGGCGGAAGACTGGCGCACACCGCAAACCTATCAGGCACTCACGCACACCAGACCGGTCAGTGATGACTCCCAGCTGGCTCGTATCCGCCTCACTGGCTACATGGATCATGAAGAAATCCCCTGTGTGGAAAATATGATAGCGCCATCTAAACGTATGTATCACGCGTGATCACAACGGCTCTCAGCCTCTCGCTCGCTTGTTTGCACGCACAGTCTCACTCCCCACCCACCCCAAACCCCGACACCTCCCCTGTGATCTTTTTATCTTGTTGGTTTGCAACTTGATCGGTCAGAACCGAGCGCAACCTTACTAAACTACTTCTACTAGTGGCCCATGAAGACGCCCTTGAAAATGGCGGACTAGGGCAGGGACTTGTTTCCAAAAGAGCCTAATGCCAGGGCACTCATTCCAACCACTACTCGTCTCCCTCCACGAACGGCAGTTGGTTTTGGCGGATGTGGGGTGCTAGATCTTGTTGGTTTGCTCGCACGCTCTCCCTCGATCACTTGCATCGACACCGAGATGCTTCGCTTCTGCAGCAGCGGTCGGTTGGGCAAAAATCACCATGCCCCGAGACGAAAAAGGTCGGCGGAAGCATGACATGGCCGTTATTATGTCATGGCCCTCTTCAGCTCTGCCTCTCGCACATGCTGATCCAACAAAACGTTGACAGCAAACAACAACCCTACCACTCGGTGCTGGCAGTCAATGCACCCTGCATCTGGATGGGGCCTTGGGTCTTTTCTTGGGTCCTTCTTGGGTCCACAGCATGCCGAGGCGAGGGTCACAGGTGTCAAACTTGGGCTCTTCTCCCAAACTGCCGGGGTGGTGCTAGTAAAATAAATCTCATCGAGTGTCATACCACGTAGTAACTCGAAGAAGCAACCACTGTCACCCACAGCCCTGGTATCATATTCCTTTTGGCAAGGCTTCACTGGCCCTTCCAATTGGACCACGAGCCGCCCTGCCATGGACATGTCGATATCGACGTCGATGTCGACCGTACGTCACATGCCCCCCTCCCCTCCCACATTCTCCATCCCTCCCCAGGGCCAAATTAAAGTGTTGTCTTAGACTCTGTACGGTTACGTTACCTGGCTACCGGACCCCGAAAGCATCAATGAATCGACATTGGCCAATCAACCTGCTCAAGATTACTCCAAGACGTGGGTCCCACGCCGAGGCAAAGACCATTTTCAGTCGTGGTTGTCCTACTCTGGGTCCTCGATCCTTAATCCAAGCGCGATGCCCTATTCGATGAATCTCAGGGCAGGACTGCCTTGGTACGCCGTCACATACAATGGCCACCCCTCTGCTCTGGAAGGTTCATAAATGGCCCTCTCCTCCCTTTGCGTGCTGTCTCCCTTCGCTCGGGCCTCAGCGGTTGTCACACAAACAACGGATCTTATCAGCATAGCACAGCCAATATCCGGGAGCCGTGGTGAAATACCCTTCCCTCACTCTCACTCTCACGCACACACAATACACACTCCCACATACTCTTACACCGCCCAAAATCAAGATGGCTGCCGTAGGCCACTCCTTCACGCGGGAAGAGGTCCGCGATCACACCTCGGACGACTCCCTCTGGTGTGTGATTGACAGCACGGTCTACGACCTCACCGACTTCGTCGACGCCCACCCAGGCGGCGAGTCCGTTCTCAAGCAGATAGCCGGCCAGGATGCCACCACCGCTTTCTACAACCTCCACCGCCACGAGGTCCTCGCCAAGTACGCCGACCTCGCCATCGGCACCATCCAGGACGAGAAGCCCCAGGTCATCAACCCACAGCCCGGTGACCTTTGTCCCGTCCCCTACTCAGAGCCCCTCTGGCTCACAGCCCCCTTCCGGACCCCCTACTACAAGGACTCCCATCGCCGTCTGCAAAGGGCCGTCCGCGAGTTCAACGACCGCCATCTCACACCAGAGGCCCATGAGTGCGAGAGGACGGGCGACTTCATCAGCCAGGGGATGATCGAGCACATGAGCCGGCTGGGGATCCTGCACATGCGTCTGGGGCCCGGGAAGCACCTCCACGGCGTGGAACTGATGGGCGGGGCCGTCAAGGGCGAGGAGTTTGACTATTTCCACGACCTGATCATCTCGCAGGAGCTGTGCCGGCCAATGGCCCGCGGGTTCCAGGACGGGAACATGTCCGGGATGACGATCGGTCTCACAGCAGTGCTCAACTTCTCTAGGAACCTGGAGTGGAGGAACAGGATCGCGGACGAGGTATTCAGCGGGCGGAAGAAGCTGAGCCTGGCTGTGACTGAGGCTTTTGCCGGTTCAGATGTTTCTGGGCTAAGGACGACGGCAGAAAAGACACCTGATGGGAAGTATTATGTTAGTCAAACTGCCAGATTACTTCCGCCCTAGTTGTTAAGCACGGGCTAACAGGATTCGCACATCACAGATCGTAAACGGTACCAAAAAGTGGATTACGAATGGCCTTTGGTCCGACTACTTCGTCACTGGCGTTCAGACTGGCAAAGGCTTGAGTGTACTCCTTATCGAACGAGGCGAGGGTGTCGAGACCAAACCCATAAAGACGTCGTACTCGCCAGCAGCTGGCACAGCCTACGTCACGTTCGATAATGTCAGAGTTCCCGTCGAGAACCTGCTTGGCGAGGAGCACCAGGGAGCTCGAGTTATCCTCAGCAATTTCAACCATGAACGATGGGCCATGTCCTGTTAGTAGTTTCCCCTCCCACACAAGAGACACTGAACTATGGCTGACGTTCTATCTCCACAGGCAGCGCCATCCGTAACGCCAGAGTCATCGTCGAAGAATCATTAAAATGGGCTAACCAACGAATCTTGTACGGCAAAAGGTTAATCGACCAAGCAGTCATCCGCCAAAAGTATGTCCACCCTCCCCCCTTTCCTCGTTACCCAGGGACTGGAACCCTTCAACGCAGCATCCCGGCTAACCTCTTCCCCTTAGGCTCGCCAAAATGATCGCGCTGGTAGAAGCAAACCAGTCGTGGCTCGAGACCATCACCTACCAGATGTGCCACATGCCCTACGCCGAGCAGGCCAAGCACCTCGCCGGGCCGATCGCCATGCTCAAGATGAGCTGCACGCGCGCCTGCCACGAGATCGCAGACGAGTCCGTACAGATCTGGGGCGGGCGCGGCCTGACCCAGACGGGCATGGGCAAGCACATCGAGATGTTCCAGCGCACATACAAGTTCGACGCCATCTTGGGGGGCGCGGAGGAGGTCCTTGCCGACCTTGGGGTCAGGCAGGCGATGAAGAACTTCCCCAAGGCAAGGCTATAATGCCACGCTGCTATACTAGCACCTTGGGGGACGTTGGACGCGATATTTTCTAGGTAAGGTAGTTCAGGTATGGTTGTCTTCATCATTTCAGTTATTTTTAGAGTCAAAATCAAGGACGGGGAAACATGGACGCCCATGTACGGTACGGTTACGGGGGATATATTTGGGTACAGGTTTTATGATTTTGCATAGCCAGCCGGTGTCATTTATTTTAAAATCAGGCTTGAATCTAGTTTGAGCATTCTTGATAAGACTTGATTCGTAGAACTTGTTGTCCCTCTTCACCATAAAAGATATGCTATTGTATGATGCATTCCTGGGTTGACCAGGACTGATAATTGCTTTTTTTATTTCATCGCCTGAGCTAACGACTACTACCTGTGGTGCTGTCTCTTTCTCCAGAAGCTATCTGACCCCATTGGCAGAAGCCAGTCGATAACCATGTTAATGAGAAATATGACATGCACGAATGCAGTTTTCATCTCCCCGTTACCCATATCTGTCTCGTCTCATCTTCACAAAGCTGATCCCGACTCATTGGTGAGATCCAAATCTGCTCCTGTTCCAGACCATGCCAAAATCAATTGCCTCCAGAGGAATGGACCTTGCGAGATTTTTTTTTCAACGAGGATGCCACGACAAAGAAAAATTGCTGGTGAAACTTTTAGAGGCCCGAAAAACCAAGGCGTTTGAAAATCATAGGACAAAGAAAATCATTTCATCGTGGGTATCATGGAGCTGCCACGCCAACTTGCTCCCGGCCAAAGCATAATTGAGGTCGGGTGACATCGTCCAAAATTAGTTGTTGGGGCACTGAGCCTGAACGTGGCCAGACTGCTGGCACTTATAGCAGATCTTCTCACCGCCAGCAGATTCCTTAGGGCAGTCGCGTGAGTAGTGACCAGACTCGCCGCAGTTGTAGCACTTCATGCCATTGACGCACTCGCCTAAGAAAGTGTAAGCAGCTGCAGGAATCGAACATCATAAGAGGAAAACTTACGGGACATGTGGCCATATCCACCGCAGGAGTAGCAAGTCTTTCCGGCACCGCCGCCGCCATTGTAGCCGCCGCCACCGTAAGAACCACCACCGAATCCGCCACCGGACTTGGAGCAGTTACGGGCAATGTGGCCGATTTCGCCGCACTTGGTCTGTTAGCGGGAACTGTTGCGAGCATTGGAAGAGGGGTCAAAATACCTTGTAGCACTCAGTCGACTGACCGCCGGCAGGGGGAGCACCACCGCCTCCAACGGGGCACTCGCGAGAAATGTGACCGGCTTGGCCGCACTTGTAGCATGCTTTGTTGTCCTTGGGGGGCTCAGAGCAGTCACGGCCTAAGTATCCATGTCCGTTAGTGAAGAGTGTGACTGAGATTGCAGGTGGGAACTTACTCATGTGGCCCTCAACTGAGTTGCTCGTTAGCATGGGTATCATACATCCGTAGTTCAACGAAACATACCTCCGCAGTTGTAGCTGGACCATACACGTTAGCAATACTATTCTGTAAGATAATTTAGAATGATTTCAGCTTACCACTTAGCAGGACCCTTGCTGGGGCAGTCACGAGCCTAGTTTTGAGGTCAGTCATGATTGCGAGGCGTTTCTAGTTGGCGATTTTTCGCCTACCTGATGGCCAGATGAGCCGCCTAAAGAAAGCAACACTGGTTAGCCCTTGATCGACAAAGATCGGATTTCATGAGATTACGTACATGAGTAGCATGCGCCACGCTGGGGACCGGATTGTTGGAAGTCCATTGTTGAGATAGGTTTAGGAGTTTCGCGAGTCTGGTGACAGTTAGGATTTCGGGACAAAGCCCAGACTGATCTGATTATGGAGACTGGGGAAGAGGATGATAGATTTTATATCAGACTGAGAATGGGGTGAGAGAGTAGGGATGAAGCTTGAGAGCAGGGTGAATGTCTTTTCAAATCCAATTGTGAAACAACTGGGAAAAGGAAAGGGAAAAAGGGCCAACTGTGAACTAGTCGGTGAGGGTGGAAAATTCTGGTTCAAAAGACTTGAACAGTTATAGGATTTTTCACCTGGCGATCTTGTGGCGCCAAGTTGATGTAAGGTTTGGTGTGACGGGGAAAAAAACAACAAAAGAATGCAGAGGGCAGAGGGAGTGGTCTTTCTGCTGTGGGAGGAATAGGTGGATGGGAGGGGGTGAGTTGAGGTTGCTCTGGGCGAATCTGGGGTATTTGCTCCGAAGCAAGCCTTGCAGAGAATTCTTCAATATCAGAGCGCGCCCACTGCTGCTGCAGGTGGCGGATTGCAGGTAGGGTTTGTGGGCGGAGGAAGTGTGCTGGGAAGGGCAGAAAGCAGCCAGGGCGATGATTGAAATATGCATGCTCACCAGAGGTTTTTGAGGTTGTTTGGGTTTGGGATTATACCTGGGGGAGAAGTGATGCTGTGCACGTTGGTTCCTAGGAATGGATGATGGTGCAGAGACTGGAAGTGTGGGAGGCTGAGTGGTGTGAAAGATATCAGGATAAGGTACCAAGACGGGTCACCTACAAATTCTGTGCATTTGTGCCCGTTAGGGAAAGCGGGGGGCACGCAGTAGAGTCTCGACCGGCCCTCAGGTTTCCACTTAAAGCTCCCGGATTACCCTACGTGCAGTAGCATTTTCTAATCTCAGTGCAGCTTCTGTTTTGAATACCGGGTACAGAGCTGGTTCTTTAATCGCTTGTATGTATCCCAAGCGCTGCTCATTCCCCCTTCTCTAGGTGGACTAAGGGAGCACTTCCCCAGGCGGCTTTTTCTGGTCCGCTGCATCATGCCTGACCGTCCGTTTCTGCCGTGTCACCCATTGGGCATTGCTCCGTCCTCGCTTGGTTGGTTGCCGCCGTTGATCAAAAACCTTGAAATGCAGCTTACGGTGTAAAGATATCGGCATTGGCACCAAACCCCACCAAGAGCTATCCGGATCGGGAACCCTTTCCACACGTGGATCGAGTGAACATCTACGATTCATTGTTGTCCTGGTGTGAAAACTAGGAAAAGAAATGACCAATTGCTGGTACTTTGTGCAGCACTGGGTGCAACCCTCGCCCTTGACCGCGAGTGGTGCTGCAATCGACCATCACGCACCCTCTGTACCACCCAACGACCTACATATGTACATGGATATGCTATATCGTGGGGTTGCTTAGACTTTAGAAGGGGGAAGCATAGAATGTGCTAACGCGCCTCGAAACCCGACGTATGTTGATTGCCGACTTGTTGATTTGTCTGGTGAGAACCAAGAGAACGAGACATCTGTATTTACGACGTCATGGCCTCCAATGCACTGTACTTGTTGAATGTATTGCCCACTCCGCGCCTGCCTCACCCATGTCATTTTGCCAGGTACTTACACGGTCACGTGACGCACTGTTTGAGACGCGTACATGGGAAGCGGGTAAGAACATGAGCTTGTTAATATACATTATTTTGTAATTGTACTTAGCTGGAAAGCCCCCTTCTGAAAATGACGAGCTGGTTCGAGAGAGGCAAGCCGGCTCTATTTGAAGCCCTCACGAGAGCTTGTGAGCAGATTGATCGCGATCTGGCTGCTGGTAAGTACACACGACACGTTAACTGCGTCGCGTGACTGACCATTTCCCAGAGCTCCAACAAAAAGGTCTTGAGATAGAAAATCATGCGCGCTTGGGGAATTTGTCAAATTCTGTCTCGCCTTCAGTTTCGTTTAATGCAGACTTCCAGCTGGTCACCGAAGCGCGTGACCATGCCACGGCCCAAACGCCAACACCTGGCATTGGCGGCGGTGTAGACAGCAAAATTCAAAATGTTGAAGCTGCCCCCGATGCCTGTGATGAACAAGAGAGAGACTGGAAGGCCGAATATGCTAAGCTGAGTGCGAGATACAATGCTCTTTCACACAACTTCAAAAAGGCAAGGGATGCTCTTCAAAAACGGAAAGATGAGCGGGACCGATGGATTCAGCACGCAACGCTGTTAGAGAAAAGAGCGAAGGCAGCAGAAGAAGAGCATGGGATTCGAATCCTCGACCGAGATCAGGCCAAAAGTAAGGGAAAGAAGCCAGAAGACACGGGACATCGAAGCATCGCATCTGTCCCAGACCCAGCGATGAGTCGTGCAGCGCCAGAAGTCAATAAGGAACCTGCTGACGGTTCCGACGATGGCGTCTCTATTGGGCCGGCCGATTCGGATTCTACTGAGAGCGTGACTACCCAGGACAAATCGCAACAAGGCCTGCCACCGATGCAAACAGGGCCTATGGTGGAAGAACCCTATATCAAGCAAGAGCCTTCCTCCGAAGGGGTTGAGTTTCTGGAAGAGCGGCCGCTTAAGAAGAGAAGAGGTGTTGGTGGCGACGTGGCACCGATGACTCCTATCATTAAAACAGAAGCTGGCACGAACAGCTCAAGTCCATTGGTTTCCCTTCACAGATACGACTTCAATCCCCATGAAAGCCCAGACCTTGGCGAAACTGTGGCGGAGATGGTCACCCCTCGTAAGCGAAAAGCAGTTCCCTACGAGCCAGAGCACAGTGTGCTTGAGGACGTTGGTCGCGTCGCAGAACCACCCCGACCGGCTGTCGACAGCCACAAACCTGCTGAAAACAAGAAGCAACCAGTAAGGGATCGATTTACTTCGGCACTTACGCCAATCGACCCTAACAAACTAAGGCGTCCAATGCAAACACCCATTTCTCGTCTTGGAAAGCCACTATCTAAAGATATTGGCCATGGTATTGCCAGGCTGGCGGAAGATGGTGGCGGCTATGGGTCGACAACACCAACCATGCCAGCAACAGCCAAATTGCCTTCAAAGGGCCGTTTAGATCTGCTACTGAATAGCCCGTCCGCTGATGAGCAGCTCCCCATATCTCGCACAGCGCCACGGCTTCGGGACAGGACTAATATCCTCCGTGACGATTTACATATACCGAAACCTCGAGAATTGCCGTTTGATCGAGCAGATCGCCAGACTCGGCCCAAAGGTGTGAAGACTCCGCCAGTCATTCGAGGTC